AATTGCTATGTGCTTCCCTTCCTGCCCTCCTGGACTAAGGAACACAACTAACCAAGCAGGCTTCAGAGCTGTCATCTACAGGAATTTAGCAGACTCTGCAGCTTATCCTACCAGGACGATTAACCAAACGCTGCAACACAAATGCTCCTTTTTGCAAGCGCGGGTTCTGCAAGAAAGTCGGCATCTCTCCTTTCATCTGTTTTGAGCTTTGCTGCCAGATTTAAGTGTCCTTACTAACTTTTTAGTGAACTTTCCTCCCAGCATGTCAGTCCACTATTTAATAACCACTAATGGCTCCCTCGTTCCTCTTGACTCAAATTCAATCTCTTCATCTTGACACTAAAAGACCTCCATGACTTAGCAATGGATTTTGGCCCCCAAAGACCTTCTAATCTCACAGTGTCTGTCTCCCAGGGCTGCCATTCTTATTCTCACCTCAGTTTCACTAGGTCCACCCCCGTCACCTGGAATAACCTCATCCTTCTGTCCATTTATCCAAACCCTACTACAGCCTTCAAGATATACACTAACTTTCCAAGACACTCTGGTGCTCCCATTATTCCATTCCTCACTCATCTCCTTTCTGATTAACCACATTTAATTTGTCCCCAGTTCATGCTTGCCTTGGGCTTGCTAACCTTTGCATGCATATTTTTATTTATACCACAACCAGACTGAAAATACCTTGGAAGTCAGGATCGTTGTTTATACCCTGAGCCTTTCCCATGCTCTGGGCACATGGCAGGTATACAGGGAATACTGGTTGGCCAGTTCCCCAAATGCTGCCTTCTATGTGAAAAGAAGGAAACTTTCTCAGCTAGATCAAGAGTCCTTCTCGGGGCACTTACTTGGGTGGCTCAGTCAGTTAAGTGTCCAACTCTCTATTTTGGCTCAGGTCATGATCTCAGGGTTCCCACGCTGGGCATGGAGCCTGCTTAAGAATTTCTGTCTCCCTCTCCCTGACCCCGTTCTCTCTCCCTCCCTCTCTAAAAAAAAAGAGAGAGAGAGAGTCCTTCTCAACTTGATTAAAGCATCAATTTGAAGCCTGTACTTCATGTTATACGTAAAGAGTAAAAGATCATAGAATCCCCATTAAAATCAGGAATAAGCATGAACACCACCATTTAATGGGTGTACTAGAGGTGACAGATAATAAACTAAGACATGAAAAGGAAACACAAGGTATACTTATTCATAATTTCTGCAAAGAATGAACGAATGAGCCATTAGATCAAGAGAACTCAACAGTGTCCAGATTCAAACTCAGAGTACAAGAATCAATGGTTTTCCTAAACACAAGCAATCAATGATTAGAAAGTATAATAGGAACAAAAAAGGAGCCCATTCACAAAAGCACTGAAACTATAAAATACCTATGAGGAAAAAGCCACGCAAGAATGTGCAATTTCAGTGAAGAAAAATCACAGTACTTTACTGAAGGATATAAAAGACCTAAATAAATAGGGGATATTCCATATTTCTGACTGGGGAAACATATTGTAGGGATGCTGACATTTCCCACACTAAACTATTAATTCAATGCAACCCCACTCAAAATTCCAATATAAGTTTTATTGAACTACAATTTACTTGTTCTACGATTCGTTTGGAAATATGAATCTGCCTGAATGGCCGTGAACATTTTGAACTAGAAGATTAATGGGCGATGACTTGCTACCAAAACATAAAATAAAATTATGCTATAAGATGGTGTGGGTTTTGTGCAGGAATAGATAAAAAGACCAGCAGAACAGAACTGGACCTGTGTCAAGATTTTATATTTGATGAAGTAGCGTTTCAAGCAATCGGAGAAAGGACAAACTCTTCAATAAATGGATGTGGGACAACCAATAGCCATTTTGAGAAACAGAAGTAGATATTGATTTCCCATCTGTGCCAGATATCTTTGGTTTGTTCCTCCAGATACCTTCTTAAAAAAAAAAAAGAAAGAAAGAACCAACAAAAGAAAGGAAGAACATGGGGCTTTGGAGTTAAATGGATATGTGACTCAAGAAACTCGCCTAATTTCCCTGGGATCTCCTCTGTAAAATGGAAGTAGTTTGTTAGGAAGATGAAATCTGATAAAACCCGCTAGATGTGCCTGCTGAATTACTGGTACATAGAAAGTATCGGTTGACCTTTTCTCTCTCCTCCATCTGGCCCGTGGAACCTTGAGGGCCAAGCACATACGTCAGTTGTCTATATATCCTGCATGCCTGTGCGAATAGAAGCTCAGTTACATTTGTTGAAAGAACGAGGGACCGAACAAGCCACACTTGTTCATTGTTCATGGATAAACATATGTTCACATATGTTCATTGCTAACGGGTAAACAAGAGAGGCCTTTCTGGCTTCTGCCAGGAAGATCAAACACTTCTGGTTTGTGAGAACAGTAAGTCAAAGAAAACCAGAGATCTGAGCCAGAAAGATCGGGATTTTCAGAGCAGGACGACTCACCACATAAATCTAACGTTTTCCAGCTTTCTTCTTCAGAGCCCCAGGCTCTGCGGAGTGACCAGACAGCCAGGGGCAAGAGTGTGCGTACCAGAAAGCCACGCCGGGAACCTGGTCTCCAGGCTGAGACCCCGCAAACACCAGCGGACAATAGGCAGGCCACATAGGACCACAACAATAGAACTCTGACCCCCAAACTCAGCAGCAACCAGCCTGGGAACCACAATGCCTACAGTGTCAGCCAGAACATTTAGGACTTGTCACTCACTACCAGCTCATCTAATTTTTGCCCCCATTGCCTCCCCTATTTCCAACTCAGGACCAACAAGAGAAAGCCAACTCTGCTCTCCAAACCAGTTACATAAGATGCTCTACTCTCGGTTATCCCGCTTCCAGCTTCCCCGTGCTAATAACCTACCCTCCAATCAGAACATACCCGCAGTCTGCCCTTCTATTCCCCTACAAAGATTTCCCACCCCTTGGCCAGTCTTGGAGTCCTCGCCAAATGCTACTGATGGCAGCTGAATCCATTGCTGTGTAGCCAGCCCTCTGTAAGGAGCCCCTGTTGGTTCTCATTTCAGTGGCCTTCATTTCCATAGGCTTTCTCCCACATTTCAGCTAGATACTAGATACATGTTATATACTGGGGTTTATTTTTATTTTTATTTTTTTTAAAGATTTTATTTATTTGACAGAGAGAGAGACAGCGAGAGAAGGAACACAAGCAGGGGGAGTGGGAGAGGGAGAAGCAGGCTTCCCACCGAGCAGGGAGCCCGATGCGGGGCTCCATCCCAGGACCCCAGGATTGTGACCTGAGCCGAAGGCAGACGCTTAACGACTGAGCCACCCAGGCGCCCCTATACTGGGGTTTATATATAAGGTTTCATATTTAAAAGTTCTACTGCTAATCCCTTTTTTTTTTTCCACCAATACAGATTGATGCCAAGAGACAAACTTCTCAAGGAATCTGAGTAAGCACGTTCAGCTTGCATCAAACTAAGAAACAAGTGATATATGGATAGGTGGCAGCAAAGGGAGGCTAGACAAAGCCCGGGCTGGGGCTGGACAATGGACAGAGGCTTCCAGAGACCTCATTGGGCTTTTTTTTTTTTTTTTTTTTTTTTTTCATAAGCCAGGCACAGCTGAGTCCAGAAGCTGCAGGGACTGGACTGCCTGGTTGGAATGCCTCCTTAGTAGCCCCTCAGAGGTGGGCTGAATTTAACCACAGTTCTAAGACCGTAGAAATGTCCACCTGCCAGAGGTGTAGACAGATGAACCAAATATATAAATAAGGCCCCAGAGGACTCAAATAAGAGGAAGATGGTTGGGAATTTTCATGGGAAAATGGCTTCTTGGATGCTGGGACTGGAGCCTTGTCCATCTACCTATGACAATTTGCCTGTCTGAAATCCTAAAATTCCCAGTATCCCTCTACATGGTCTTTAAATCTATTTAAAATAGGTTATGTATGGCGGCATTTCCCAAACTGGTGAATGTTAATATATGTCTCAGGAAAAAAGGGAGTCAAATAAGTTTGGGAAATGCTGGTGAAACCAAGTTAAACACATTTCATTTGAGTAGGACTTTGCAAAACCTTGAATCTGCTAATATATGTTGTGAATCTGTAAGAAGGGGATATAGTCTACAGCATTTTCCAAACTTACTTAACTGTAGAAATTGGTTTCCTGCCCACCTATTTACATCTCTCTGAACATCATCCCACGGCATACCATTTTGGAGACACAGGTTTGAGATAATGCTACTTTCACAGGAAAACTATTAGCTGGTTAACACCTCTTTTTTTAAACAAATATTTTATTTATTTGAGAGAGAGAGCACGTGCACAGGAGTATGCACACAAGTGGGCAGAGGGGCAGATGGAGAGGGAGAGGCAGAGAATCTCAAGCAGACTCTGTGCTGAGAGCTGAGCCCAATGCAGGACTTGATCTCATGTCCCCGAGATCATGACGTGAGCCGAAACCAAGAGTCAGACACTTAACCAACTGAGCCACCCAGGTGCCCCCAAGTTAGCACCTCTTATCATGCATTGTAACTTAACAAAGGGAGGATCAGGAGACCAGATAGGAAGTGGCACATGAGGGCAGTTTTGAGGATAAGAGGAAGAAAATAAGATCATAAAGGAGGGCCAGAGACTAAAGAGGTTACAGTTAGGTTTCAGGTCAGCCTAGCGCAATTCCTTCCAGATGGAGGAAGTCAGAGATTATCCTTACCTGATTTGTAATTTTTCTTAGCCAGCGCGAGTATCAATATCTCTAGAAGCTAGAGCGTGGCCAGGAGAATCACTGAATTCGAGAATCACTGCAATCTCCGTATTAGAGATTTGGGCGAATGGTTCCTTTTATAGCGTTTCATCAGTGATGGCCCTTGACCCCATTTCAGAGTTGAGATAACTAAGGGCAGAGGGCTGATGCCACTCATCTGATGCCCCAACAAAGCCACTCTTCTTTCTGTAACCCCACCATGAAGTCTATGACAGACTGCAGGGAGGGAGAGTGAAGTATTCTAATGACCCCTTACTCACTTACTTGAGAATCACACAGCCTGTTCCTGTGGGTGGCGCTATCCAGAACACCTGGATCCGTGTCCTCCTCCGTGGGGTGCTTTCAGTGACCGCGACGGGGCAGTTACTCATAAACTGTGTTTCTTCTTCATCTATGATCTATGGAAAGTAAACACATTAAAATGCAATGTCACTTTGGGAAGGCTCTTTCTTAAGTTTCCGAGCTGACACTTCCTTAATTTTATTTTTAAACCTGTCGTTGTGTGTTAGCAGCTCTATATCCCCAGACACCAGAATAGTGCCTGGTATAGAGTTCCAGTCGATGCTTGTTGAATTAACATGAGGGCAAGGATTTGGCACATGTGCTCTGCTCTCTGGGACCAGGATCTAGTGTCAACACTTTGAGGAACAGGCCACTAGGTGATGATCTTGCTTATTTCACTCTCATAACCGGGTCCCACTTCAGGGGAGGAGGAAGAGGAGGAGGAGGAGGAGGAAGAGGAGGGGGAGGGCATAATCCAAAGCCAACACTCTCTAAATAGCTAAAATCTGTAATTCAGCTACAGTTTTAGAACTTGAAATCGAAATGCTAAAAGAAAACACCCCTTTGGAGGAAGTCCTCCAAAGTACATAAACTCCATCCCAGCTTCATGGCACTGTTTACTTGGCAGTCTCTACCTCCTGAGTTTGTGCATTGTGTTGGTGTTCTCCCAAGTTAACCATCAAGGTTTCCTTGGACATTGCAAAAAAACTGGTAGCCATTCCCATTCCCCAAGACTGGTTCAGCATTTCTCCATTTGCTTCTGGGTCTGCTGCCAGAATTTGCTTATCCCTCTAGTGCTATTACAGACTGTTAGACCTGGAAGGATCCCTTGGGGGAAATCATCTAAATCCAATAGGTCTTAAGCGCCAACTCCAATTGATTGGAAGTAGCTGTGTCATGAGTAGTGCTAATAACAATAACGGATAACATTTATTGAGTGTTTAGTATGTGCTAGACACTAAGCTAAGTGCTTTATCTGAATTACTCATTTAGTCTTCAAATACAATTTAATAAGATAATATCCATATTGTATTTATTTTACTTTTAAAAATTCATATTCCTTTTAGGACAGCAGGTAAGAAAAAATGAAGTCACTCAAACTCCTTAGTTCATCATATATTTTTATCCCCGGACAAAGCAAAAGCAATCTTCTATTATATTTTATTTAATCTATATTCTTTATCCTACTCCCACTTATATATGTCCTCCTGAGTGTGTGTGTATATAAACATACATATGTTTATATAATACATAATGTATATATAAAATATGTGTGTATATATATTATGTATATATATATTATGTATATATATATACACATATATATGTAACTCACTTGAAGTTACATAGAATTGTTTTGTGTTTTAATGTTTCTTTCACTTAATCTTATGCTTTTAAGATACAGGTTTCCCCCACTATCTGAAAGTAGAGCATACCTATGAAATCTTTTGTAAGCTGGAATGGTATAAACTGAAGAAGCAGTTACCATGAATTCATATGGAAAATTTTTTGAGTGTTCCCAGACCCCAAAAATAACCTCTCTTAGGCTTTTCTGATACCTTAGGACACATCTTGCAAACAGATGCATAAAATAAATCAAGATAAAACCCAGATGTTCACAGACACAGTTCAAAGCTATATGGGGCTTAATGCTGAGATGCTGAGTGTAGTATAGCATTATTTCTCTTGCTGCTCAGGTGTGCGCTGCCTTTAAACAGCTCACTGCAAAATAAATGCTGAGTGCTATTTTCACTTTTTGCCTTTTTCATAAAAGTGAAAATCCTTTTTGGATTTCTTTCAGTTGTGGAAACAGGTACTAGTGTAGGTCTTCCGTAAAAGCAAAGTGGCATAACATGAACTTTCATAAAAGTGGGGATACCTGTATGTCAAAATTACTATATGTGAATGTAATTCATTGCTTCTGACTGCAGCCTAGTATTCCACTGCATGCATAGACCACATTTGACTTATCCATTCTCCCCGTGAGGCACAGTCAGCTGACTTCCAGATCTTTACCTCCACAAACACTGCTGCAATGAAGCTCTTCATGCTGCTCTACTTGTGAACCCACATGAGAGCTTCTCAGCAATATAAACCATGTAGTGGGAGGTTCACCCAGAGGTTCGTCTTACTTTTGGAATTCTTCATTCAACAGAAATAATTTTCATCTAGTCAAATTCGTCAATTTCTCCCTATGGCTTGCACTTTTGTGGTCTTGCCTTAAAAAACAGACCACTAAGATATTTTCCAGTATTTTTTTCCCCATTAGCTTTATAATTTTACCTTTCACATTTAGGTCTTCTATGCATTTAGAGTTTATTTTTTAATAAAATGGAGTAGGGCTCCAACTCCATTTTCTCCACACGGTGAGCTACTTTAAAAAGTAATAAACTTAATTTTTAAGAGTTTAGGTTTATAGCAAAATTGAGCAGAAAATGCAGAGGGTTTCCATAGACCCCCTGTCCCCACACATGAACAACCTTCCCTATTATCAACATCCAGCCCCAGACTGGTACATTTGTTACAGCTGATGAACCTACATCAACATATCATCATCACCCAGAGTCCAGAGTTTACATGAGGGTTCACTCCTGGTGCTGTTTATTCTATGGGTTTTGACAAATGTATAATGACATGCATTCACCACTGAGGTTTCATAGTATTGTATTGAATAGTGTCACTGCCTTAAAAATCCTTGGTGCTCTGCCTATTCATCCTTCCCTCCCTCCAACCCCTGACAACCAGTAATCTTTTGTTATAATTGCTTATTAGTTCCAGGAGGTTTTTTGTTGATTCTTTCAGACTTTCCTATGTAGACAATCATGTCATCTGAGAAAAGAGTTTTAATTCTTCCTTCCCAATCTGTATACATTTTATTTCCTTTTCTTGTCTTATTGCATTATCTAGAATTTCCAGTGTAATGTTGAAAAGTAGTGGTGAGAGGGGATATGCTTGCCTTGTTCTTGATCTTATTGAGAAAACTTCAAGTTTCTTACCAGTAACTATGCTATTAGGAATAGGTTTTGTTTGTAGATGTGCTTTATCAAGTTGAGATATTCCTCTCTATTCCTAGTTTGCTGAGGGTTTTTATCATGAGTGGATGTTGGGTTTTGTCAAATGCTTTTTCCACATCTATTGATAATGATCACATTTTTCTTCTTTAGTCTGCTGAAGTGATGGATTATGTTAATTGATATTTAAATGTTGAACCAGCCTTGCATTACCTGGGATAAATTCCACTTGGTTATGGTATATATTCTTCCTGTACATTGTTGGATTTGATTTGCTAACATTGTGTTGAGGAATTTTGCATCTATATTCATGAGAAATAGAAGTCTAGAGTTTTCTTTTTTTTGCAAAGTCTTTGGTTTTGGTGTTAGGGTGACACAGGCATCATAGAATGAGTTAGAAAGTAGAGTTTTGGTATAATTTCTTCATTAAATGTTTAATGAATTAATTAAATTAATAAGTTAAATGAATTGGTAGAATTTATCAGTGAACCCATCCAGGTCTGGTACTTTCTGTTTTGGGGAGATTACTAATTATTGATTCAATTCTTTAATAGATATAGACCTATTTAGATTGTCTATTTCTTCTTGTTTAAGTTTTGACAGATTGTGTCTCTCAAGGAATTGGGTCTGTTTCATGTAGGTTATCAAATTTGTGGGCACAGAGTTGTTCACAATAGCTCTTTATTATTCCTTTAGTGTCCATTGGATCTATAATAATGCTCCTTCTTTCATTTCTGATATTAGTGATTTTTGTCTTCTCTCTCTTTTTTTTTTAGTTAGCTTGGCTGGGGGCTTATCACTTTTTTTGATCTTTTCAAAGAGCCAATCTTGGTTTTGTTGGTTTTCTCTATTGATTTCTTGTTTTCAATTTCATTGATTTCTGCTCTCATTTTCATTACTTCTTTTCCTCTGCTTACTTTGGATGTAATTTTCTTTTCTTTTTCTAGGGAGGAAGCTGAGATTATTGCTCTTATATCTTTTTCTTTTCTAATATATACATTCAGTGCTACAAATGTCCCTTAAGCATTGCTTTTGCTGCATTCCACAAATTTTGATAAGTTGTATTTCCATTTTCATTTCGTTTAAAATATTTTTAAAGTTCTTTTGAAATTTCTTCCTTGATCCATGTGTTGGTTAGAAATGTGTTGTTTATGGGGATTTTCCAGCTATCTTTCTGTTATTGATTTCTAGTTTAATTTCATTGTGGTCTGAGAGCAGACATTGTATGATTTCTGTTCTTTTAAATTCGTTAAGGTGTATTTTATGGTCCAGAATGTGGTATATCCCAGTCTTATAATTCCAACATCTTGGATTTATATCCAAGTCTGCTTCTTATGCTTTCTCTGTCTTTCCAAATTGTGTTTTTTTTTGCCTTTTAGTAGGCCTTTTAATTTTTTGTTGAAAGGTGGATATGTCGTTCTGGGTAAAAAGAATTGAAGTAAATAGGCCTTTAGTAATGTGGTGGTAAGGTGTTGGGGAGGGGAAGTGTTCTCCAGTGCTGTGAACTCTGGGACAACCACTAAAAAAGCAAATAAAAAAAGGAAGTATAATTGATTTGCTAAGAAAAGAGAGAAAATAGAATCATATAAAAATGGTCAAAGACAAAAATGACAGAAGTGTGAAAGACAAAAATAAAAACAAACAAAAAGGTAAACAGAAAACAAGTATGGCAAATATTAATCCAACTATATCAATAATCACCTTAAATATCAATAGTCTAAATATACCAACTAAAAGATTGTCAGAGTGAATCAAAATCAAGACCTTGATATGTTGTCCACAAGAAACCCACTATAAATATAAAGACACATGTAATTAAAAGCAGAATGACAGAGAAAAATACACAATGCTAACACTAATTGTAAGAAATCAAGAGTAACTATATTAATATCAGACAAAGCAGACATCAGAGCAAGGAATGTTATCAAGCATAAGAGGAGCATTACAAAATGATAAAGGGGTCAATATTCTTTTTTTTTTTTAAAGATTTTATTTATTTATCTGAGACAGAGAGAATGAGAGAGACAGAGAGCACATGAGAGGGGGGAAGGTCAGAGGGAGAAGCAGGCTCCTGCCGAGCAGGGAGCCCGATGCAGGACTCGATC